CAGGGGCAACAATGATTGCCAATTACACACACACACACTTACAGAATCTCTGAAGCTCTCTTATGAAGAATATGGCCCATCTTTCATATAACACACATATTGAACTCTTTCTGTGCCTTGTACTTCCCTGAAGAAGAGCTCTGTGTAGCTCGAAAGCTTCTCTTTCACCATCAGAAGTTGGTCCAATAAAAGATATTACCTCACCACCCTGCACTTCCCTTTAGAAGTTAAGGCATGACAAGCTTGCTGCTTGTGTTGTAATCTTATCCAGCTACAGGATATGTGACTGTGTTGCTTATTCCTCCCCTGCGTAATGTAGACCTCCATGCTTCACATGAGCCGGAGTCTTGTATGAGTTATATGGCTATTATGTTATAAGTAGGACTGATGTATTACAGAACGCTGCCATAGATCCTATTAATGGCACTTGGGTTCCATTTTTTTCCCCTTGTAGTAAATTCAGAGTTTTTTGGATATGAACAGATGCACACGGAGGCAGGGAGACCTGTGTCTGGGAGGGGATTAGGCAAAGTTAAAGGCTTATCAAGTAAGATGGATCTGCCAGTAGAGCATCTAGCCTATAGCCCTTCCTCTATGCAGTGGCATAATTTATGTCATTATCCTCAAACCTCTTCTGATAAATTGGTGCCTTGGCCAGCCTTGAACACCTCCACTGACTGTGATTCTACCACTTCCCTGGGCATTTTATTCCATTGCTTGGATTGCTTTTATGGTGACAACGTTTTCTCTGATTCTGAATTTACATGTATCCCTGCCCATCACTACCTGTTCTAAGACCAATGACCAATTCATTGCTCTCTTTATAACATCCTTTCACCAGGGCCTGAGAAACAGCCTGATATTCAGATTCAGATGCTGTTCACACTCGGTGGGCTTGGTTAGAGATGAGCCTACATTTGAAACACAGACCCCAGTCCAGGGTCAGCTCCTCCCTCTACCAAAGTCTGAACTGAAACCCAGCTTCCGTGCAGCTGCTGGGTTTCAAAATCTGTATCTGGATTTGGATAGTGGGGACCAGCTCTGGTCTTAATATTCAGCTCCCCCCACCCACTGTATAACTCAAATCATTTCCCATCATCACAACGTCATGCCATAACTTCTGGAGTGGTGAGGGTGTAACCAGATGAGGGTTTTCATTGCTTTCCCATCATGTGACATTGGCCCTAGGGGCATTTTAGAGGGCGTAATGATCAACAAAATCCCGAGTGTGTCTTTGGGGGTCAGAGTCCATTGTGTGTCAATTACTGTACCCAGAGGGTATACAGCCACTAGCACTTCAGGGGTGGAGAAGGGATATATCTGCCCCACATGATTATCCTGCTAATGGCCTCTTCAGTAACATTGCAAATATCCTGCAGTCTCACACCTCATTCCCTCCACCCCCCTTCTCCCATCTCAAATCCAGTCAACAGGTTCTGTAGCTATAATACAGCATTTCTCTTTTCAACCCTGGCATTTCCACGGTGTGTTTGAAAAGGGCCCACTTATTTGCTGGGAGGCTTTGGGATCATAGGGGAAGGGGATCTAGTCAATGTGGTCTCCGTTCAGCACAACCAAACATTCCGAAAGGAAGGGAGTGATTGAATAAAACCATGATGCAATCCCTGCCTGTCACTTCTGATTTAGTAAATGAAGTCGGATGATCTTACAAAAAGAAAAACAAGTTAGCGTAACGGGTGCTTTAATTCATCCCCATGCCGCCGTGCTGTAGCTGAGGCATTAGCAGTCAGGGGAAAGTACTGAAGCTGTACAGAATGCACATCAATCTTTGCCGCATCAGACCAAATGGAAATCCACAGCCAGCAGAGACAAGAAGTCTAAATACCTAGAGGTGGGTGAGACAGACTCACCCTGACTACAGAGAGCCAAATCAGGTGCCAATCTGGAACTGCAAATCTGAATCGTGCAGCTTGATGAGTGGAACTGGGGAAAGAGGGTCAGGTTTAAGGAGGGGGTTAGTTTTGTGTAGTGCCAGGGGTTCAGGTACGCAAGCCAGGGTTCTGTCTTATTCCACGTAGAGATTTAGCATGTAACATTGGCCTCTCGCCATTCTTAATAAAGATCTCTTTCCTACAACTCTGGCTGGCCTGCCCCTTCACTTATTGCTAGTGAAACAAACTACTTCATTTTGCGGTGAGTGGGGTGGAAGGGAATTTGCATTCACATACCCTGAGCCATACTCACCCTTATGGTTTGGGTCAACGGTAGAGCAAAGCACTCAGAGCCTAAGATGGGACCTAAAATATATGAATCAGAGAAACAAAAATGACCAAGAGGCCTATATTCTGGTTCCAGTTTGCCCCAAGGTGGCATAAATCTGATAAGAAGAGCTGATCTCAGGAAGTTGCCACCATGATCTCGTGAGATCTCTGCAACTTTAAGATTTCTGTGATGCCAAACCCTGCCGTGAAACCCTTTCCTTAAATCCAGGTTCGGCTTCGATCCTGAACCCTGAACCAATGTCGAAACTAGACCAAGACACAGTTTTCTTGGCCCTTTGTATGAACTGAGGATTCTTTCCAGCCTTGCACTTGTATAATAACGAAGTGCCTTCCAATGCATTACAGATATGACCGCATGAAGCTTCGCAACACGCTTGTGAAGACAATCAATATTATGATTTTGCCTTACGACACATTTTCTAGTCCTTCATCTATATTAGTATTAAAGAGACTCAAATTCAAAGCAGGAATTCATATGCATTTAGTTTCAACCAGACACAGTAATGATATCCAGTCCCTGGGCTAAATCCTCAGCTGGTGTAGATCAGTATTGTTCTAGTACAGTGTTTCTCAAACTGGGGTTGCTGCTTGTGTAGGGCAAACTCCCGGCGGGCCAGGCCGGTTTGTTTACCTGCCCCGTCCGCAGGTCCGGCCGATCGCGGCTCCCACTGGCCGCGGTTCACCGCTTCAGGCCAATGGGAGCTGCTGGAAGCGACACGGGCCGAGGGACTTACTGGCCGCCACTTCCAGCAGCCCCCATTGGCCTGCAGCGGTGAACCGCGGCCAGTGGGAGCCGTGGTCGGCCGGACCTGCGGACGGGGCAGGTAAACAAACCGGCCCGGCCTGCCGGGGGCTTTCCCTACACAAGCGGTGTCCCCAGTTTGAGAAACATTGTTCTAGTATGTTCAATGCAGCTACACTGATCTACACCAGCTGATTAGAGACTGTTGCCTAGTGTTGTTGTGAATCATTAAAACTGCTGCTGGCTACTCTCTCAGGGTGGTTGTATTTCAGAGTTGGGAAAACTTATCCTTTTCTATACAGTCCCAATACACTATAGGAATCTTCCATGTGTAAGATGCTACATAAATATAATATTAAGTCAGACATCAGGAAGTATGCTGCCGATTGTCCATTGGCCAACTCTCTTAATATTCGCTGTTATTTCTTACAGCCCCAGCTCCCAGAGTCATGTGATTATGTGAAAATCTCAGTTTCTTTTCTTTTCTTTTTTTTAAGTAAGTTGCTAGCCCTCGCAATTGCAGAGAAAATTTGAAAATGTGAAGCCTGCTGGTGGTAGGGAGTGTTTAGAAAAACAGAAGGCAAATAAAAAAGAATCCCAAACATATTATTTAAAAATACCTCATGATTTTTAAGCCACTCTTATGAACCTACGCAGCCTGACTCCTGATTTTTGAAAACTTGAAGAATTCCCACAGAAGCTGGGAATGGGTGACAGGGGATGGATCACTTGATGATTACCGGTTCTGTTCATTCCTTCTGGGGCACCTGGCATTGGCCACTGTTGGAAGACAGGACACTGGGCTAGATGGACCCTTGGTCTGACCCAATAGGGCCATTCTTATGTTCTTATATAATACTGCCACAGTGTCATTAAATGGATGAGGATTGGAGGGAGAAAACTAGTGTTATCTTTCTTCTTTCAGGTGCAAAGTGCGAAACAAACATAAAAACCCAAATTCTCTCTCCAGATGAGCATGCACAGCTTCTGTTGAAATGGTTGGCAGCCCCATGGATGCATCTGAGGGCAGAATTTGACACTCATTTTCTAGCACCGGAGAAAAAAGAAAGGAGAAGGTTAATAGTAAAGCAGCAAACAAGAAAGCCTTCTGCTCGCATCTGACATTCTTTGTCAGTTTTATTTCACTTGATAACGTGACACGGCTTTGGGAGAAAAAATGATTAACCTTGCCATTTTTAAACCTCAGTTGCTATGAATGTGAATATTGCTCCTGAAATGCATGTCCTTAACTTTCCTTGATGCTTAACACACGCCTTAGTTTTATCTCTGTGAACGTGTATCTTGGGAAGGAGGGAGAGCAGTGCGGGGCGGAGGGAGGGGGCAGGGGGAAATGGAAGGCACAGTTTGGGAATTTAGTGCAAAGTAGATTGTGTCACTGATTAGCTTGGTTAAAAGAAAGAAAAAAGTGTACTGAAAATGAGTTAAGGAACAGTATTGTAATCCCTCTTATTGCAGTCCCGAGATGCTTGACTTAGCCTCATTATCATAGCAGGATGATGTGTACCCTATGAGTGTATAAAAATATATGAACTCCCGGGACAATATAGCTCAATCTGCTCTATTACCCATCATGCACATCTGAGCACACTACTGCTATTAGATCTGTTTGTGGAACAGCTGAGCCCATGGATGGATCTCCTAAAAACAGAGCCTGAATATACAATTGAGACAGGCCCTGCATGTAAAATATATGACGGGAGAGGCACAATGGAAATGAATGTACAATGAGGCCGATGCCACAATGGGAGGGACAATAGGGATGAATCTACTCTGGCTGTGTATGTGTGATGATAAAACACAGACAGGTTGCCATCTATAATTCATGGTGTTTGCTTCCCCTTCCCCGGGCCGAGATAACTGGGACTCAGTTTCAGTTTGGGGAAGCTATTCTTCCTTGCTGCGTGGTGTTAAAAAGCTGTTTTTCGCCCCCGAGATAGCTGCATTTCAGAAGTGGGTGAGTTGGATGCTATATATACATGACATCACTGCCTCACCACTGACATGCAGCTACCTCGCAGGTGGATATCAGCAACTGTCTAACAATTCACAGCATGCAACAAAGAATGGCATACACGGAGAGCTTTAAAATGGAGTTAACGGTGAGAATATCTATCAGGAACAAAGTTTAAAATCATTACAGGGATGTTATAACTCAATTGGACATGCACATTAAAGGCACCAAACAATATTAATTTTCTATAATGACAACACACAATAACTGTAGGATTACAATATGTGGAATGTTTGTAATCCCAGATTAGATTAAACTAATTCTTAAAAACATATTTGTTTTCTTTTTCCACATCTGTTTGCCCCTCGTTGTGACACCATGAGGCAAAATTAAGGTTGTTTGAGTTACAAGGCAGTGTTAACGTTGTTTGGGCACCTTAACTCGGTATTTCTATGATTTAACATGTTTGGATTTCTTTTAAGTGTAATCGTAACTTTGAATTTCATAGATTCATAAATTCCAAGATCAGAAGGGATCACTTGTGATCTAGTCCTGGATATGTAATGTTTGGGTTTGGAATACGTACAACATTCCTGCAATGTTTTTACCATGAAGTTAGTGATATAGACTCTCCTCTTTAACAAATTTGTTTTGTCTTGGAATTTCCTTGTTTGTTTGCTTTTTAAAGTAAAATGTTCGCGCATTAACACCTATCAAGAAACTTAAAGAGAATGCTACTGTACACCATTTCTAATGTTTTGAAGATATGCAGGGTGGAATGCTGGCTCTATTGAAGCCCGGGTGAGTTTTGCCAATGATTTCACCTTTTCAGGACAAATTCGCTAGTACACCAGATCACCGCAAAGCAGCTAGAGTACCCCACCCCTTTAGGCTGGGTTTACAGCTGCTTTTCATGATCGGAGCAGTGCAAAGAAGCTGACCTGTCCTAATAAAACTGGTCCTTAGTTTGCAGTTGATTGATTGATTTGGAAAGCTATGACAGTGAGACCAGTGTTATGTAAAGGGTGGGGAGAGTCCAGTCCATGAACCCCAGCGTCTCTGTGCTTTAAGGCACTCTTGTCTTAGCCTTTCTGGTAATGCTACCTCAATGCACAGTGGAGCTGAGGCAACACCACCATGGGGACTGATGGCCAAGCTAACAGGCAGCCCAGCAGTGTTTAAAGAGCAGTGATGTTGGATCAGGTAATCTACCAATGGGAACTCTTGAAACATGTCCAGTCTACCTCATACTATCAAGGCATTACAGTCATTTGAATTGTTGCATGCAAATTAGCTTTAGAGGAAAGGTTATGGTTTGTAGAGTTACCTCCGATGTCACCACAACCCTACTTAAGAGTTAAATGAGCTGTTGACCTCCCGTTTGTAGCTCATGTAATCATGGCAATTAGATATAACAATTGTTAATAAGTTCGCTTAATTATATCCTAACTTCTTCACGTGTAGCCTGTGCACAGGAATGAAATTAATGTTAACTATATGGAAAGTTTGAAGTCTGTATTACTTTGTTATTACAATCATTTGGGACAAAGGAAAGACGAGCACAGACACTAAATTTCTTAAAAGACCGTTTTAAATTAATTTCAACTCAAACTAATTAACGCATGTCCTTGTAAACGCTCAGAAAATTCCTTCTGTGCTCAAAAGCAATGGTTACACCTGAGGCTATGGGTGTGATTCCCGGCTTGGGTAGACACACTCACACGACCTGTCACTGAGCTACTGCCCTGAACATACTAGTGTAGGTGCGGGAGCATGGGCTACAATGCGTGGTGGCACGGGCTAGCTGCCCTGAGTACAGATCTATGGAATCCAGGCACATTTGTACTAACTTAGTCCTACAGACATAGGTGCCCAGCTAGTGGTAGTATAATCTCTGGCACATCTAGCACTGACCCTGGCTACTACTGTATGCGCAAACTGGGTCACTAGAATTCAGGAGCTGGCAAACTGGTCCTAACTGGATAAGTCTCCGTATACACACACACACACACACGCAGCTAGCTTTACATCCCTTCACGGCCTGTTTGTGACAGCCTGATAGGGTCTCTGAGGAGGTGTCTACACTGCAGTAAATAACCCCTGACACTGAGTCTCAGAGCCTGGGGCAGCTGACTCAGCTTCGCAGGCCTTGGGCTAAAAATAGCAGCATAGATGTTTGGGCTCAGACTAGAGCCTGGGCTTTGAGAGCCCCCCCCCCCCCCCGCTTCACAGGGGGTTCAGAGCCTGGGTTCCACCCCCGAACCCGACTGTCCACACTGCATTTTTCAGCTCCGCAGCCTGAGACCCGCGAGCCCAAGTCAGCTGCCCCGGACCAGCCATGGCTGTGCCGCGGGGCTTTTATTGCAGTGTAGACATACCCTGAGAGCGAGTTTTGGTAACTGGGTGGCTGAAGACTCATATAATTACAGTCAGCTTCACTTTCAGTTCAATAACAGGGAGCTGGCTTCAAGTTAAATGTGGGGGAAAGAACAAAAGGAGAGCAGAGAAATAATAAACAGTGCTGTGATTTGAGGGGAGACAGCAGAAGAGGGCCATAAAAACTGACTGGGGGCTTGAAACTGACCCCCTCACGAGATCGCTTGGTTAAACACTGCATTGACGTCTGGTTTCTTTGAACACAGTGTTGCTTAAATACACACACACACACACACACACACACACACACACACACACACACACACACACACACACACACACACACACACACACACACACACACACACAGAACTGTGTAAGAACCGTACTAGCTGCTATACTCAACCTTGACTTCTAAATTTCACTTTACGCTCCCTTTTTAAGGTGTATGTGTATACACACATAGGATATTTTAAAATGCCTACAGCATGGTCTGTGCACACTCTTCTTATACCAGGGTAACTATGTTGGTTAGGAATGTGATTTTTTTAACAATATAGTTATATAGGTGCCTTATATATAATGCACCGATATTGTTATATGGGTATCAAAGTTCTTTATACTGGTACAACTTATTTCCCATCCCTCATGGGAATAAGCTATAGCATATTAAGCACATTTATACTGGTATAACTACGTCCACCCTAGGGGTTGTACTGCTTTAACTATGCCAGGTAAGGCAACACAACTTTTATGAGTAGACAAAGCCATAGTGACTTAGGAGCACAACTCTAACTGGAAGTCAAAGTTGTACTCCTAAATCACATAGGCACTTGTAAATTTGTAGCCTACTAGCTCTTTTAAGACTTAGAACAGTTTCCATTTTAACCCCCTGGTCTCATACATACAAAACATTCTAAACAGTCATGTTTTGCATAATTTTTTTTCCATGTTTGGAGCTCGATCCTGAAAAGTCCTGAGTATTTCAGTGCGGTACTGAGTAGAGCGGGGTGAGATTTCAGAAAATGTTCCTGCCTCAAATGGAGACAAACATTTTTGTGAACCGAAAATCTGATTTTTTTTTTTGAGGCTTGAATCAATTGAAACATTTTTTCCCAAACATGTTGAAACATTTCATTTTGATTTCAACCATTTTACTTTTTAAATATAATTTAAGTTTCAAAACAAAAAATCATTTTGAAATGGAAAAAACAGAAATTTTCATTTAAAAAATGCTGAAACAAAATATTTTGACAATTTTTTTGGAGGGGCGGGGGAGGATTCCACATTGAAAATTTGTTGAAACAGAGACTTTCCCACTCAAAGCTTTGGTTTGGACAAATGGGCATTTTCCAGAAAAAAATGTTTCATTGAAAAATTCCTGACCAGCTTCAGTGCTGATCACCTTTGACTCTCATCAATTTAAATGAACAGAACATGCAGTGTTCAGCATCTTGCAGTATTGAGCTCATAGGTTCTCTCCAAGGGTGATTGTTGTTTCGAGTATAATGATGGGTTATTTGAAAACTGCTAACCATTATTTTTAGATATGGATACAGAGAAAACAACTTGTTATTTTCACTGCATTCACACAAAGAAGTTTGATAAATACTCTTGTCAGAAGGTTCCAATGTAACACAACTTTATTTCTTAGCATTCAGAATGATAACACACAAGAACCCCAAAACAGTGAGAGACAAAGCAGGCTGCTCTCTAAGACAGAGCAAAGCACAACTCACCCCACCTTACAATAGGCTGGCTGTCTACTGACTGATGGTTGCTTGGCCCAGATCACACATTTCCCCTAGACCCCTAGTCTGCAAGCGGGACCAGGAAAACACCCTAAAATGTAAAGGGACAGTCTACAGTTTTAACACGTCTTCAAAACACTACACAACTGCCCTTTGAAACTTGGCATGGATATATTTCTCACTGAGGCCTAGCTAGTGCCTTTGGTAACCAAAAACAAAGGAGCAGAGGAGAGGGTTGATTTAACTAACTTACAAGCATTTCAAAATCGCATATGGAGAATACTGAAGAAATGCATGTTAGATCAATAAATGTACACTCAAAAGGCATTTACACTCATTCAATGGTCCCTTTATACTGGTAGAATGGTATAAAGGGACCTTAGTGTTAATGAGAATTGGGCCTATGTATATATGTGCACACACACATTTAAGTCCAGATCCTCAGCTGGTGTAAATTGGTATAATTCCACTGAAGACAACGTAGCCACCGTATGCCTGTAGCACGCGTACGTACACACACACACACACACACACACACACACACACACACAGAGTCTTTAAAAATAGTAAGCTTTTTTTCTGGGCGCCACTTTCCATTACAGAGGACTTATAGCCTATGAAAATTCATAAACTCTGCAGGCGTTTCCACGGCGATTTGACGGCGTAATCTCCTGTCATCTCAGCTTCTCGGTGACAATGACAAGAGGAAGATGGATTTATCAAATACACAGTGACATGTTTATGACCCTGTTTTGCATAAGCAGGAGCCCGAGCCAAAGGCTGTGCAGCTTGCGATAGCAAGAGGGTTTTTATAAATATTGTGACAAGCAGGAGTGATATTTGGAAAAACATGAAAAAAAAAAAAAAAAGATAGCTATATTCTTCCCGTTTCTTTGAGCCAGGCTGCATTTGAGGGGAAAGAAAGCTTTTCTC